CAACAGGGTTATAGATAGTCAATACTCTGGGCCCTGATGGTGAGCCTTTGTACCTGCAGTTCCCTAGGCCAAAAATACTATTCCTCAAATCTCTTCATGGCTGGCTCCTTCTCACAAATTGGTCACAGGTCAAATACTCTCTTCTAAGACAGTCTATTCCTGTCTATTCCAAATAGCTCCCTTGCCAATAAAGTCCTGCCCACTGCCCTGCTTAGAATCTTCAATTTTATACTACCACATGTAATTATTTTCTATTACATTTTTCCCATGTTAAATGTCTCTATGGCAAAATGGAACATAAATTATAATGAGAGATTTCTGTCTGCAATATTTTCAGGTTTTCCCAGCATTTAGAAAGGCATGTGGAACTCGGGAGACAATCACAAGACATTTTGGATGAATGAATGACTGGGACCAAACTGAGGGTCAGCAATAGTTTCATCTGTGATTTTTAAGCTGATAGTTTTATACAAGTGTGTAGCTTATGATGGCTATTTGAGGAGTGAGGAGTTCTGTGGCAAACCTAACAATACCTATGATGGGAATCTTTCTAAAATGTGCAATTGTTGCTATATTTCTGCTCTTATCATTTTTCAAAGGTTTCAAAATGTGTCATATAATATTGGGTCAGGGACCAGGCAGGCCACCAGATGGTTGAAGATGATTTATTTCCTTAATTTCAGACTACTGAAGAAAGATTATAGAAAGAGAGCTGGTTCTTGTCTGAGTTTACAGGATATGAAAGATAAAAGGGGCCTTGAAGTTCATCTAGTCTGGATTCATTCTTAATTTAAAAACGCTTTCTATACCACCAATGACACTGTTGCCTGACCTTGACATTAATATTTTTAGTGATGAGACACTCACTGTTTTACAAGATAACCTGTCTCACAATTGGACAGATTTTGATGAGCAAGGTCTTCCTTCTATTGATTCAAAATTTCCTTCCTGTAACTTCTGGCCCCTGGAGAAACAATACATAAGTCTAGTTCCTGTTCTGAATTATGAACTTTGAAATATTTTAAGACATCTGAAATATCTCCCCTGAGTATTCTAAACTTCAGAATAAACATTCTAAATACCTCCAGTAATTATTCACTTATTTCTTCTTTTAGACACACACACACTCACCTTCCTACTGGATGATCTCTGGAACACTGCAATTAGGAAACATATGTTCTCCAGGGCAAAGTGGAATTAAGTTTTATTTTTAATTATGGATTTAATTGTACTTGTGCCATAAAGTTATTAATTGATCCACTTTTGTAAGTCAACTATGCATATAATTATGTACTATATCATTGCCAATGTAAGTGTCTGTTATTAATTGTGAGATGCAAAATAAGATTACTATGATATAATAAACCTTCTCCTTGGCCAGAAATCTGTGTCTAAAGAACATCTTATAACATACAATGTCAGCTAGCTGGTAAAATCTTTTGCTAAAAATACAAAAATATTCAAAATAATCTGAGTTTTCAATTCACATATGCACAAGTGTGGCTTCTTTCCATCTTTCCATTATAGACATTCTAAAATTAAAGTGTTCCATTATAAAGTACTATTAGTGAAAATAAGCTAAGCCAAATGTAAAAATGAACTTTTTTTACAACAAGAACAGTATATTAAATGCTAATTTAAACATTTTTCAGCTAATAAGGTAAAAATAAAGATAATTTATCCACATTCAGACTTTTCAGGTAGATTCAGTAAACTGGTTCATCTTTTGCCTTTCTCATGAGCTCAGTGTTGGCTATAATCACATCCTCAATATTAATCACTAAAGTAGAAGTTATACTATAGTGTTATAACCCAATAATTTTCAATATTGACCTAATACTTCTAAAAAGCAGAAAAAATGTATTAAATTCACACTAAGGAAATTGATGGGTTTCAATTCACATGTCCTACATATATCTATTCTGTAATTACCTGTTTTTAAATGCCTAATAGTAAGTTATTATGTATATGAATATCCACAGTTATGTTTGCACTTACTACTATCTTGGAAAAATTAAGTACTATTTTGTTTTATGGACCGATCATGACTTTGTTGTATTTGTTAACTGACTGTACCATGACAGACACTAACCAACATCAACACGGTATTCAGTTCACATCTAGAACAAAAGATGTGGCATAATCAGAGGGACCTAGAAATTATGACCCAATAGTGGTTTGTTCAATTAACCTACACCTCATGCCTTCCTTTTCACAGAAGCCGGATGTTGCCAAACATAACACATACAAAATCACAGCATCCAAACACAATGCTTCTTAGTTGTGTGTGGAATGACAAAAAAGTATTTTGATTATTCTTTTAAAATAAACAAGTTATTTCCATAATTCTTGTTATGGGTTACATTGCATCCTCCCCAAACTCATATTTAAGTCCTAATCTCCAAACCAAACAATGTGAAATGGAAATAGGTTTGTTGAAGATATGATAAAGTTAGGAAGTCAAACTGGAGAAAAGTGGGCACCCAGGGCAAGTTTGAAGACACACACACACAAGAAGATTACCATATGAAGATGAAGGCACAATTGGGGCATGCTTCTACCAGATGGGAAGGATGCCAGCAAGCCACCAGCCCTGGGGGAAAGGCCTGCACCAGGTTCTCCCTCCCAACCCTCAGAAGAAACCAACCCTGCTGACACACTGACCTGGAACTCTTAACCTCCAGAACTACAAGGCACTAAACTTCAGTTGCTGAAGCCTCTCAACTTGTGATACCCTAGCAAGCTTATGAAATTATGAAACTCCTAAATATTTGGCATTCTTCAGGTTATGCCTTCAAGAGGACAGAGCACTCTTTGTTAAAAACAAAATATTCTTGAATGTAGCATATTCTCATCCTCTGAGGTAAAATTTTCCAACAGCCAAGAGTTACTCATATCTATGATATGAGTACAGTAGATCACATGTGCAGGTAATCCAGCATTCTTTTCATTAATTCATTATAGTATTCAAATTGATATATAGTAAAAATGGACTGTTTATCTCTGCAACTGACTTTGGCAGACAGTCTAAAAACTGTTTTAAGATGTTTTAAATGATAGCATTTCTTGGGGAAAATGTATAATTTCCTAAGGTAAGCCATTTTGAAATAAACAAAAACGCATTTTTTGCTGACAGTTGTGCATGTCTATGATCCCAGTGACTCGGGAGGCTGAGGCAGGAGGATTCCAAGTTTGAAACTAGCCTCAGCCATTGAGCAAGACCCTGTATTAAAATAAAAAGTCAAATAGTCGGGTCTGGGGATGTAGCTTCAGTGGTAAAGCATCCATGGGTTGAATCCCCAGTACCTCTTGGTTAAATCTCCAGTACTGCTCCCACAAACAAAAAGCATGTTTTATAAATCTTGATGTATTTAATTTTAAAGTTTCATTCTTAGCCATACTGAATGTTTATATACACACTCACACACACACACATAATGTGTGTGTAAAATTATGAATAGCGTAAGTAGTTACTCTGTGTTAATCCAGAAGTTTGTGGGGGTATTTTTGGTTTGGTTTTATTTATTTATTTTTGTACTGGGGATTGAACCCAGGCATGTTTAACTACTGAGCCAATCCCCAGACCTTTTTGTGTTTTTATTTTGAGACAGAATCTCACTAAATTGCTTAGGACTTGCTAAGTTTCTGAGGCTGTCTTTGAACTTGCAGTCCTCCTGCCTCAGCATCCCAAGACATAAGCCAGAGTTTTTCAAGAGTGCTTTGTTAGTTTGGTACTTGAATGGAGATACACACACACACACACACACACACGTATATACATGTATGTATATTTATATATGTATGTATAGATAGATAGAGATAGATGACAGAAATAGATTCCTGGGGACTGAACCTAGCCTCTCAGCCTGAGAAGTTTCTCTTCTATCTGAGTCACACTATGAGTTTCCATTCAAGATCTGAAATGCTCAATAAAACTTCCTGTAATGATGGAATATCCTGTATCTGCATCACCCAGTACAAGAGTCACTAGTCACCAAGAGGCTGTTCAGCATGGGAAATGGATGGTGCAAATAAGACACTGAGATTTTAATCTATGTTAATTTAATTGTAACAGAAATAACTACGTGGAGCCAGCAGTTATTGTACTGGACAACAGAGTTCTAGACTTTAATTTGAAATTGGGATTCTATTCCTAACAGTGTGAAAATCACCACTGAAAATGAAGGAATAAGGAAAGTAATAAGAAGTAACTGATGATTTGGATCAACTATCCCAGAACACACAGATGTGTAAGTTTCTCAGCACATAAGGTTGACTTTAATCCAAGTGATTATAAAATTCCATCAGCAAACTCAAACTGGCATCATTACTGGCATTAGCCAGCATGGGGAACTGAAGAGTAGCAAGAAGTGTTTTCCTGGAGAATGTTTCTTCCCCCCAAATCCCTGGAGGCCTGAACACACACACATATTCTGCCCAGGAACTCCAAACCCTGTGCTTTCCAAATATTCAGTTAGCTATATCATCTACATGTGCTTGTTTTCAAAGGTTCTCTAGCAGTTGGCAACTGAACTTGGCTCTAGACAATACAGTTGAAAATTAGTAGTTGTAAAACTGGATCTTCTCACTTAAAAATGTCTTTAGTGTTCAGGTTTTTATGTTGGCTTTTTAGCTTCATCCTGTTTCTCCACATGTCAGAGACAAGTTTTAAGGCCTTTCAGATTATACAGGAAAATTTCATAGGGATATTGTCAATTCTTCAAAGTTATTTTTAAAAGGTTTCAACTTCACCATGGCCCCCAGGAATTTGATGGTTCCACCTAGAGCACATCCCTGAAAACACGGGGTGGGGAGACTCTTTCCATTCTTCCCCCTGTCTGCTCCAAAGAGCATTATATAAGCTCTATATCCCCATCCCCTCCAAATAAAACCAAGACCTACCAAAATAACAGTTCCACAATCTCAAAACATGGAGGACACTAAATAGGTTTTCTGCCAAAAAATGATAAGGGAGTAAATAAATAAATAAGAGAAACCAGTATGAGACACTAACAGTTTATTGCTCACCACAATTGCTTTCACAAGAAAACACTCTAAGGTTTTTAAGTAGTGGTGAAGATGGTGTTCATAGGTAGCTCTGCATAGAGCTCAGGTCCCTAATTGAGATTCCCAGTGTGGTCATTGCTGTTTCATAAACACAAGATTTGGAGTGTCCAATTTATTTTAAGAGTGTTTTTCTCCTTTCTATTTAGTTAAGTCTAGTGTGACATGCTGGCAACGTGAAAAAATGTTAAATGGTAGCTCTTACATTTGTAATGTAGTCATTGTCCACTAAGTGAAAGATTGTTTAAATAGCTGAAATTTTCTAATATCATCATTGGGATATACTTAAAATTATATACACACATTTATTCTATCCAATGGATCCATTTCCACATTCTCAGGCAACCAAGCTTCTTCTCCTGCTGTCCTTGTATATTAAATTCAAATCATCAAGAACTTATATAAATCAAACTACTTGATACTATTTTTAGTGTCTGACTTATTTCATTTAGTATAATTATTTTGATATGTGTCCATCTTCTGAGTGTTTTAGTAGTGTAATTCAGTCCTCACTTGTGGACAAGATGGACAGAAATGGGGACAGAGATCTGGGGATGGTTGTTTGGGGCAGGTTTGGAGGCGGTGGGATAGGAGTGGCAGGGAGCAGGATTGGCACAGGAAGCAAGTGGGCTGAAAGGGGGTGGGATGGTGTGGGGCTGTCCCTCCCTCGTCCTCTGCCCACCCTGGGCCCAGCCTGCAGTTCCGATGCCACCCAGGATACCACTTTGACCACCAGCCTGCGGGTGCACACCTGCAACGCTAGACAGCGGGCGTCACTGCCCTGCAGCACGGCGCGCAGGTCCTCCACCAGCTCCTGGAGGCTGCTGTTCTCCTCCTCCAGCCTCGCCACGCGCTCGCCCTCCGGGCCCTCGGGGCCACCCTCGTCGGGACCCTGCACCCGGGTCGGGTGCTGACGGCGGAGGCGACGCGGGCGGCGCAGGCGGATCTGCGTTTCCATGTGTTTGCTGAGCGCTCCTCGGGGCAGCTGGTGACCGCCGCGGGTGCCAAAGTAGCCGCAGAGGCGCGCGTGGAACTGGCGGAAGGTGAGCTCCGGGGGCTCCGCGCGCAGCGCCACACGTGCCTCCTCCTGGGATTCCGAGTCTCCATCATCGGCCACATCCCTGGAGGAGGTCCCATCCCCAGAGTCAACAGGGATCGCATCCGGGTGGCCTCCCCGGAGGCGGCACCCTCGCGCGCAGCCCCAAAACGGCGCAGAGCGCGCGGAAGGCGGCTGGCGCCTTGGCAGTCCAGGTGGTGGAAGACCTCCTGCAGGTACTGGTCCAGGCCGGTGGCCAGCACCAAGATCTTGTTCTCCACGCTTCAATCCAGGCCATAGTGGTGAGCCAGGGCGCTCAGCAGCCAGTGCGTGCTCCGCGCTGGCCTCCTCCGTGCTCCGGCCGGCCGGCGCCATAGCGGCGGCCCTCGGTTCCCTTGCTCCCGTTCCTCCGCCCCGCCACTTCCAGGGGCGGCCCCCGAGTTTCCCGAAAGGAGGAGCTTGGCGATGGCCTTCTGGTTGGATCGTGTCCAGCGGCAGATGCCCAGAAACCCTGGGTTGACCTCAGTTACTTTGAAGGGATCCCTGCGACCTGGGCGCACCCGTGTCCTCAGCCCCTCCGGGCCTTCCCCGGCCTCAGCTCTTTGCCTTCCACTTTGGGGCGGTCGGAGTGGCTCGGTCCCCACCCTCCACTCTGCGTGGAGACGTTTGCGCCCCAACAGTTCAGCCACCAGCTCCCCAAAGAGGCTTCTCCCTCGGCCTTGGTGGTGCAGAGAGCCCCATCTGGGAACTAGAAAAGAAGAGGAAACGGATTTAGCGGGAGAGGGGACAAGGTGAGGGACAGCCCAGGGGCGGGAAGCCACTGAGATGATCTGGGATCTCCTAGAGCTGTGTGCGCACATGCGCCTTGGAGGCTGGGGGACTGGACTCCCCAGAAAGCAGTTCCACCTGCCTCGGAAATTGGCCTTGGGAACCTGAGTTTCATTTCTGGCCGAGATGAACTTGAAAGGTTGCTTTTAAGTCTTTTTAGTCTCTTTGATGTCTTGGAACACTTTTCTGGAAGGTGAAAGAAAAACCTACTTCTTGGGTGACTGCTAGTCTCTATTCCTGAATGGGCATGATGGTGTCCACCTGTTATCTGCTTTGGGAGCAGTTATCCAGCCACTTTGGAGCAAGAGGCTCCACTATCCTTGTCTACTAGATGGGCAGACTCTTGCATTTGTGGTTTTTAAATATCAAATCCTGTCGGGTGTGGTGGCGCAGGCCTGTCATCCCAGCGGTTTGGGAGATGAGGCAGGAGGATTGCAAGTTTGCTACCAGCCTCAACAATTTTCGAGGCCCTAAGCAACTTAGCAACATGCTTTCTCAGAATAATAATAATAATAATAATAATAATAATGCTGGGAATGTGGCTTAGTGGTTGAGAACGCCTGGGTTTCATCCCTAGTGCCCCAAAATAAATAAATAAAATCCTGCCACTTGGAAAGCAATAAAATTGTGTCTCTGCCACAGTATCCAGGTCAGCAAATTCCCATTCATTCTTGAAAATTTTTCCAAGGTGCACCTTGATTGGAAAGGAGTTAGCTGCCTCACCTCAAAACCATTTTCTACATTTAAAATATATATATATAATAGAGAGTGGACAAAAAGTTTTGTGCCATTTCCACTCCTTGGCTTCTACCTTAGAAAAACGCAGGGACACAGGATAGTCACTGCATCATTGTTTGTAATGAGGACCTGGCGTCTAAGGACATGAGCCAGGAAAAAACCGGGATGAGCAAACACAGCAAGCAACACTATATTATGTACAATGTTAATGTGTGTGTAACGGTAGCAATAGTTGTGCACACCTAGAATCCCAGTGGCTCTGGAGGCTGAGGCAGGAGGATCGCAAGGTGGAGGCCAGCCTCAGCCACTTAGTGAGGCTCTGAGCAACTCAGGGAGACCCTGTCTCTAAATAAAATATAAAAAGGGCTGGGGACGTGGCTCAGAGGTTAAGTGCTCCTGGGTTCAATCCCTGGTACAAAAAAAGAAAAAAACAAAATTCAATTCTCTTAGAGACTCATTGGGACTTCAGTTTGAGGAACTGACATATAACCTGCTGCTTGTGGGTGATTCCTGATTCTTCTTTTTTTAAAATAAATTTTATTTTTTGGTATGATTTTGTCATTAGCCCTTCTCTGGTTGCTTGATCCCTCTGTGCCTGTCTGGGGTGGTCTAAACCACTGTGTGAATTTCACCCCAGGACTGCAAACTGTCAAGAGCCGGGGCAGTGAGAAGTCGGCCAACATTTTGGATTGCGTTTTGACTTTGAAAGCTGAAGTGCCTATCATGACCAAGGAGCAGAAGCTGGAATTAAACCCCCTGATCATAAGGATCGACTGTGTTTTTTTCTGCCTGCCATCACAAACTGTGCCTATTCAGGAATTACAGGTAAGAATGGGCCACACCTGTCATCCCAGCAGCTCAGGAGGCCGAGGCAGGAGGATCGCAAGATGGAGGACAGCCTCAGCCACTTAGTGAGGCTCTAAGCAGCTCAGTGAGACCCTGTCTCTAAATAAAATACAAATAGGGCTGGGGGTGGGGCTCAGGGGTTGGTCGAGTGCCTCTGGGTTCAATCCTATGATTTTCTCCTAACTAGGAGCCTCCAAATCTGAGGCCTCTCACTATGTCACAGGTGCTGTACAGATGGAGGTCTCCAGTCTCTCTTCAGGAACCCATGGGGGTGGAGCTGGAGGCTGTTATGCTAAGTGAGATCAGTCAATCCCAAAGATCCAAAGGCTGGACATTCTCTCTGATATGAGGATGCTGATTCATAATGGGGGGGTATAGGGAAGAATAGGGGTACACTGGATTAGACAGAGGGGAGTGAGGGGAGGGGACAGGGTCAGGGGGTGGGAAGGAAGGTGGATGCTATCACTCTCTGTGTGTATATGATACATGACTGGTGTGGTCCTACCTCATGCACAACCAGAAGAATGAGAAGTTAGGCTCCATTTATGTAGGATGCGTCCAAATGCATTCTACTGTAATGTGTAATTAATTAGAACAAATAAAAAAAAATAACTGGGATTAAAAAAAGAGGAACCCATGGATTTTCCTGTTACAGCAGCAGCACCTCGCTGCATACTTAACCTCTTCCCTCTGCTGTTTGGATCTTCTTGTCTTTTGGACTTCACGTCTTCCTCTTCATTTGTTTGTCCTTTGGTTTTGCTGGGGCACATCCTTCAGTAACCTCTTGAGAAAAGATCAATGGAATACCCCCTGACCCACCGTGGGTTATTCTATCCTTCTATTTGGTAGATAGTTTGGGTATAGAATTCTAGTTTTCCTTCAGAGTTTTGAAGGCAATCATTCCATCACTTTTTTTTAATGTTCTGTGTTGGGCCTTGATATATGTCCCATTTTATATTTCCCTTAAAGCTTGTAGGATCTTCGTCTTGTGCACCTCAGAATATGACCTTATTTGGACAGAGGGTGATCACAGAGGCCTGCTCCCTGCCTGGCCTTCAGTGACATCACGGTAGTCACAGGGAGCTACATTGCCCATGGATGCTGATCCAAGTCCTGGCTCCCAGCCGGGGAGTGGCCAGGGCACCCCGTTAGAGTTGGGGGAGGTGGACGTCCGGGTGGACGACCCCCTCGGCCTTTGCAGATGGCAGTGGGCTGTGTTTTCTCCAAGGTGTTTGTCTGGGGTAGGGTGATCATTTTCCTGACAGTTTTCTATTCTGCTAGGCCACCCCATTCTTGGTCCTTTGGCTGGAGACAGCAGACTTTTCTTGGGGGTGCTTCCTGCCTCCAGAAACATTCAGCCAGGGGACTCAGGAGCTCTTTCAGTGCTGGGCAGTTGTCTTGTATTATCTCACTGATTATTTCTTTTTCATTCCCCACATCTTTTTGGAGCTCCTGTTATTTAGATGCTGAATGTCCTGGACTGTTTGTATGGATGTAATTCATTGTTTTTCTCTGGCCACTTTTTAATTTATTTTGATTTTTTATTTGTTTAAATTAGTTGTACATGGCAGGCGAATGCATATATGAACTTTGATAAATCATATGTAGGTGGGATGTAATTTCTCATTTTCTGAGTGTGCATATTGCAGAATCATATTGTACATTGTCACATGGATACATACAGTAATAAGGTCTGTTTAATTCTACCATCCTTCCTATCTCCACATCCCCTCTCCTCCCATCACTTTCCTCTACCGAATCTAAGGTAACACTGTTCTTCTGCAGGGGCCCCCAACCTTTGTGAATTAGCATCCACATACAAGAGAAAACATTCGGCCTTTGGTTTTGTAGGATTGGCTTATTTCGCTTAGCATGATAGTCTCCAACTCCAACCATTTACTGCAAATGCCATAATTTTACTCTTCCAAGCAGTGTAATATTCCATTGAGTATACATACCACATTTTCTTTATCCATTCATCTACTGAGGGACACCTAGGTTGGTTCCATAGTCTAGCTATTGTGAATTGAGCTGCTGTAGTGGCTGTGTCACTATAGTATGCTGATTTTAAGTCCTCTGGGTATAAACCAAGGAGTGGGAGAGCTGTATTTTTTTCTATTTGTTCTAATTAGTTACACATGACAGCAGAATGCAAAAATTCTGACAAATAGAGTATGACTTGTCATTCACCTGGTTGGACATGATGTAGAGTGAGGTCCTGTGATCATATATACACATGGGAAATGATGTTCTGGCTGTTTTTAATATGTTATCTCTGCTTTTAATCTGTTCCATAAGGATGTGTCTGGGCCTGTATTTCTGAGTTCATCTAATTGGGATTTACTGAGATTCTAGAACTTACAAGTTAATGTCCTTTGACAAATTCAGGAGATTTTCAGACACTATTTTATTTTATTTTATTTTTAGCTGTAGATGGACAGATGCCTTTATTTTATTTATTTATTTCTCTGTGGTGCTGAGGATGGAACCCAGGGCCTCACACGTGCCAGGCAAGCGCTCTGCCACTGAGCCCCAGCCCATCCCCAGTCATTATTTCTCGAAATTTTTTTCTGTATTTTACCTTCTTACCTGGTGGTGCTTTTGTGGACACCGGGCCGTAGAGTCCTGGAGTGACCTTGCAGAGTGGGTTACCCATGGACACTTTGTAGCAGGGCAAACTGAGGCCCCTGGGCTGCAGGCATGGCCCTGGGGTGTGAGGGTCCCAGGTGGGCACTCCATTCTTGGTGGCAGAGGGACAGTCACTGGTGAGCGGCTGTGGGCCTCCTTCCTGGTGGCAGAGGGACAGTCATGGTGAGTGGCCATGGGCCTGTTCTGTTGCAGAGGCTGTGCACCCCCTTCTACTGCAGGTACCGCTTCCACAAGACCTTGGTGCACAGGACTGAGGAGTGGCCCCACGGGACCCATGTTTACTTCGAGGACATCAATGTCATCTGCCTGGGAGCCATACACCCCAGTGACCTGCGGGAGTACCTGGAGGGTCCCCCCATGGTGGTGGAAGTCCACGATCGGGACCGTAAGTCAGACGAGTCCTCCTGCAGGCCCACCCTGTTTGGGGAGGACCCCCTGGATTCCCATGGGAACATCCAGTCCTTCATCTCCTCCAAGGAGACGGAGGACAACCCCTTCCAGTCTCAGAACAAGACCTGGGACTCTCACGGAGTCACCCGGGTCAGTTTCACGGACCTCCTCCTTGGCCACAAGTACCTGAACCTGGTGGTCCCCATCCAGCGCTGTGAGCCCAAGGCCACCCCCGGCCTCCAGGGCAGCCAATGCAGGAGGGTCTTGAGGTTCCACCGAGGTCCTCCAGCACAACCCGATGCCCGCTGGAAACTACTTGGAGGCCAACTCATTGCTCAAACTGCGAGTGGATGTGGCAGTGCCTCTGAGGACCTGGGCCAAAGCCCAGGGTGTGGATTTCCTGGGCAGCCACTTTGGCCACATCATGTTTGTGTTCAGTGCCAAAGAGCTGTTCCTGATCAACGCCAAGGCCCTGGAGCTGGACTCCTACCCCACCAGGACTGTCCAGCAGATCCTCCCAGCCTTCAAGATGCGGGTCAACATCCAGCATCAGGAGCATCTGGACATCCTGACCGGCTTCCACCTGCTAGATGGGAACATCCACCTCTTTGTTCTGGAAGGCTTGGCCGACGGGGGCCTGCGGCAGCTGTGGAAGAACCACCAGAGCCAGTAGGTGGCATCTGAATGAGGAAGGAGCCTCAGCAAGGCCCAGGGAGGCTGAGGATCACAGATTGGAGGCCAGCCTCAACAACTTAGCAGGATGCTGTCTCAAAATCAAATAAGAAGGGTTTTATTTTGTGGTGAAGCACCCCTGGGTTCAATCCCCAGGACCAATAAATAAATAACCCAGTTACATGATTCTGCCACCATGATCTGCTGCCCCCAGGGGCAGGAGCCTGGCCTGTTTGTACCATAGCTGGAGTGACCTCTGAGTGCCTGAATGGCTGAGCAGGGTGAAATGACCCTCGTCTGGGGAACAGCTTCCTGTGTGGCCTGGTGGGAACAGGGGACCCTGGCTCTCTCTTCTGATAGCACAGTCTTTCAAACAAGTTGACCCTTTTACCCCCTTGAGCCTACAATGAGGGTATCATATTTTAAATTTCAGTTGCCAGGTGTTTATTGCTGGTAATATGGAAATATGGTTAATTTGTGTGTATCTTGTATCCTGATTTGATAATTATTTATTATTATTGCTATTTTTTTTGGTACCAGGGATTGAACCTAGGGATGCTCCACCAGTGAGCCACGTCCCAGCCCTTTTTTGCATTTTATTTAGAGACAAGATCTCGCTGAGTTGCTCAGGGCCTCGCTAAGTGGCTGAGGCTAGCCTCCAATTTGCAATCCTCCTGCCTTGGCATCCAATGTCTACCTCCCCAAATCACTGAGATTATAGGTGAGGGCAACAGCCAGCCACAGTATCCTTGAGTTTAATCCCCAGTACTAAAAAAAAAAAGTAAGAAAAGTGAGAACAAAACTTATTTACAATGTGTGGAACATAGTAGTAGCCTGAAAATATAAAGAGTTCTGTGAATCAATAAGAATGATCGAAACATCCCAGAAGAATGGGTGAAAGAATGATTCCAACAAGTTCTTCACAGAACAAGTTCCTACCAATGACCACACCTACGGGCCCTGAACTGGGATACAGGGTAGGCGTAAACGTTACCAGGTTCAGCATGCTGGGCATGGTGGTGTGCGCCTGTCATCCCAGTGGCTCAGGAGGCTGAGGCAGGAGGATTGCAAGATGGAGGCCAGCCTCAGCAATTTAGCCAGGCCCTCAGAAACTCAGTGAGACCCTGTCTCTAAATAAAACATAAAAAGGGCTGGGGATGGGGCTCAGGGGTTAAGAGACCCTGGGTTCTTTCTGTCATGGGTTTTCGACAAGCAAAGACAAAATAAAATGTCATAGAAAATAAAACAGGACTGAGGTCGTAGGTCAGTGGGAAAGCCGCTGCCTAGCCCGCAGGAGGCCCAGGTTCAACCCTCAGAATTGCAAAGTGAATGAGTGAATGAATGAAAACATAAATAAATAATCTGAATTGCTCAGGGCCTCGCTAAGTGGCTGAGGCTGGCCTCACACTTGCGATCCTCCTGCCTCAGCCTCCGGAGCTACTGGGATGACAGGTGTAACCTAAGTCCACACTTCTAAACTGTAAACTGTGAAGTAATTACAGACTCACAAGTTGTAACAATTAATAGAGTTTCTAGATCCCTTTCCCGGTGGCCCGTGGGGACATCTTCCATAACCACACTGCTTTACTGGGTGACACCTGTACCTAAAGTGATGGAAAAATCTTTTTGTTTGCTTGGTTTTCTGGTCCTGGGAGTTGGACTAGAGGCCCTACCCTGAGCCTGCAGTGTGCCCAGTGAAACCCTGGCCGGTGTCCCTCTTTCAGAATCCCCATGTTGGAGCTCAGGAAATACAAAGTGCTCTACAACTCGCAGCTGCTGTTCTGCCACCGCCTCTACACGGACCTGGACACCGTCCTGCACCACGTGCACCTCTTCAAGCCCCTGTCGCTGCTCATGCGGCATCCAGGGTTCTACCTGCGGAACTCCATACCGCACAAGGCCTTCCAGGAGCTGGCCAGGTGGGGGCCTGCTCTGCCCCTGAGCCTCAGCCTCTGCCCCAGCCTCAGCCCCAGCCCCTGAGCCTCAGCCTCTGCCCCAGCCTCAGCCCCAGCCCCTGAGCCCCAGCCTCAGCCCCTTTTTGAATTTTATTTAGAGATAGCATCTTGCTAAGTTGCTGAGGGCCTTACTCAACTGCGGAGGCTGGCCTCCAACTTGCGATCCTCCTGCCTCAGCCTCCCTAATTGCTAGGATTACAGATATTAGCCACTGAGCCTGGCAAAGGGGAGTTTTGGGGGTTGGGAAGGCAGGATGACTGGTGGCCCAGTCTTCTGAGATCTGCTCAGAAATCAGGCTACGGCCATATTACCATTCCCGGTGGAGGAGGATTCTGAGTATACCACTGGCCATCTTGCTAGGGATGCTCTCCATGGGCTGTTGAGGGTCATGGATGAGACTGTGGCTCAGTCAGCTTTTTCTGTGCTGTGACTCAAGGACCCCCCAGCACAACTGCAGAGGGGGACAGTGGACGTGGGGCTCAGGGTGTCACAGGTCCCAGCCCACTCCTGGGCCGAGGGGAGGCGGGACATCATGGAGGAAGAGTGTGGGGAGGGAGCAGCTCCCATGGGGACCAGGGAGCAGGGACTCCATACTCCAGGGACAAAGAGAGCCCCAAGCCACGGCCCCAGGGCCACCTCCTCCACCACACTTCACCTGCCTCCAGGGGCCACCAGGGGACCCCCAGGGAGCCATTCCCTGCCAGGGTTCAGGCCTCGCAACCCCTCACTCCTCCTCTGGACCTTCCTGCATCGCCTCCCATGGGGGCTCTGGGGACACCCCACAGCCACAGCAGGACAGATCACAATCAAAGAAGAGCATTCATATCAGAGCACGAGTAGCCAGTAAATTCTTGGGAGTCAAAGGAGGAAGGACGCCAGTGCAAACCTGTCATCCCAGCTAGTCAGGAGGCTGAGGCAGGAGGATCGCAAGGTGGAGGCCAGCTTCAGCAACTTAGCGAGGCCCTGAGCAACTCAGCGAGACCCTGTCTCTAAATAAAATATAAAATATGGAGAGGGAAGAAGGGATTCTCCAGGAAGGAGTCCAAGCAGATCAAACTAGACCTGAGCACTTCATTTATGACCTGGCACCAGCTAATCAGCCTCTCTTGGGTTTTATGTCCTCCATAAAATAGGGGTGACTGTCCCCGTCTCTCAAGGCCCATGAGGCTGAGTGGGGTGTTCTTCATTCCAGAATCTACAACATCTGCTACCACAGTACCAAGTTCAGGGAGGTGATCGTCAGAGACTTGCTACCTTCGTCCACCATGATCAAAGACTTGAGCCAAGAGTTTGGGCTCCCCATCTCTCAAGAGGACCTCATGGATCAGAAGCTACCTACCATCTCCCCTCAGCCCACCCCCAATCTTGAAGAATCCCAAAGTCAGGTCTCCACCCTCAATTCCAAGATCCTTGCCCACCAGGAGAAGTACCTGCAGTGGCGGAAAAACATGCCCTTGATGACGAGAGAAGGACTACCTGATCAAGGTGGGCCTGCCTCCTCCCTCCACATCCGGGCTCCCAGCTCACCAGGGCTGTCTCCACCTGCTGGAGAGATTCTTCTTTTGGTTCTGGGGATTGAACCCAGGGGTGCTTAACCCCTGAGCCCTGTCCCCAGCCCTTTTTATATTTTATTTAGAGACAGGGCCTCCCTGAGTTGCTTAGGGTTTTGCTAAGTGGCTGAGGCTGGCCTCCTACTTGCGATCCTCCTGCTTCAGCCTCTGGAGCCACTGTTTTGAAACTAGGTTGGGTTTTCAACCACCGAGCCATATCCCCAACCCAATTTTCTTCTCTCTCAACTGCTTTGATTAGTTTAGCTCCTTTGGATTTCCACATAAATTTTAGGATTGTCTTGCCAGTTTCTACAAAATGTCCATGGGGATTTCCTAGGCACTGTGTGGACTCCAGATCCATTTGGGAAGCATTGCTATCCTAGTGGTTTGAGGACTGCCATTGATAATATGGAATATCTCTGCTGTGATTTAGGTCTTCTCTCCCTCAGCCATTTCTGTGGCATATAAGTATCAGACCTCTTTTTGAGAAAATAATACTGTTATATATTGAGTTTTAAAAATTTTTGTGTCACTAGAATATAGAAATATAATGAAATTTTATTATTCAACTTGTATCCTGTAACCTTTTGAAATTGGGTCATCTGTATTAATCTGTTTTCTGTTGCTATAACAAATCACCGGAGGCTGGGAAACATATAAAGAAAATAGGTTCAGTTAGATTAATTTTGGAGGAGGAAAGTCTAATCTGGATGGCCCCACTAGTTTGGCCTCTGCCAAGGGCCTCCTTAGCCGCATCACCACAGGGCAGATGGTATCACAGGGGTAATACCTTCACGAGGGAGGGATCAGATGGCAAGATGGGAAGCCACAGAGGAGGGAGGGATCAGTCTTGATCTCCTTCTAACAACTCGTGTGTGGCCACATCTGGGCTTCGGAGTGATCCCCAGTGTCCTTGCCTGAGGTTCTGTCCGGCTCCCCCCCGACAGGATTCATTTGATTGGCATATAACTGGGGTACCTAAGAATGGGATCCAGTGTGATGACATTTCATCATGTGCATATGGCACGCACTGATCACCCCCTTTAGCAATCACTATTTTACATTCAGGTCAATTTTGGTTTTTAAACTTCTACATATGGTGGAGAACATGCCCTATACCTGTCTGTCCATGTTTAGCACTTATTTCACTTGACACGATGTCTTCCAGGTTCATCAATTTGATTGCCAAATCACAGGATTTCATTCTTGATGGCTGAGTAATATTCCATTGTGTGTGTGTGTGTATCAGCCTAAGTACCCACTGACAAATGAATTGATAAAGAAAATAAGAAAATGTGTGTATGTGTGTACACACCTCTCATCCCAGTGACTCAAGAGGCTGAGGCAGGAGGATCTCAAGTGGGAGACCAGCCTCAGCAACTTAGTGAGGCCCTAAGCAACTCAGTGAGACCCTGTTTCTAAATAAAATATAATATAAATACACACACACACACACACACTTTTCTTTATCCATTCACCTGTCAGTGGGTTCCTAGGTTGATTCTTTATCTTAGTAATTGTGAATAGGTCCATAACAGACATGAGGTGTGGGGGTACTTCTTTGGTGAGCTGATTTCATTTCTTCTGGAGACATACCCAGAAGTGGGGTAGCTGGATCACATGGTAAATCTATTTTTAGTTTTCTGAGGAACCAGATTAATAATTATGGTTGTATTCTTGATTTACACGCCTAATAGCAGTGAACAAGTTCCTTTCTCTCCACATCTGAACATTTGTTATTTTTTTTAAATAACAGCCATTCTAATTGGGGTGAAATGATCGTCTCATTGTAGTTTTGATCTGAATTTCCCTGATGGCTAATGATATTGACCATGTTTTAATATATTTCTTGACCATTTCACCACCTCCTCCTCCTCCTCTTTCTTATTTTATTATTATTATTTAGTACTGGGATTGAACCCAGGGGTGCTTTTATCACTGAACTACATCTTCAAACTTTAATTTTTTAAAAGAATTTTGAGACAGGGTCTCACTGAGCTTCACAGGCTGATCTGAACTTGCAGTCCTCCTGCCTGAGCCTCCTGAGTTGCTGGGATGACAGGCACATGCCCAGTTGCATTTCTTCTTTTAAAAAAGTATCCATTCAGATCATTTGCCCATTTTTCAATTGGATTTTTTTTTTTTGGGGGGGGGGATACTGGAGAGTGTACCCAGAGGATCTTAACCCCTGAGCCACATACCCAGCCCCTGTTTTTGTTATTGTTAATATTTTATTTAGAGACAAGAGTCTTGCTGAGTTGCTTAGGGCCTCGCTAAGTTACTGAGGCTGGCCTCCACCTTGTGATCCTCCCGTCTCAGCCTCCTGAGTCACTGAAATTTCAGGTGTGTGCAATGTACCTGGCCTTTTTGGTTGTTTTTTAAGTATATCTTTATGAATGAACACATCTCAGTTTGTTGTGCGTCTTTGTTCAGTTTCCAGTGGTTGCTTTTGACAGTTTTTTCATTGTTTTCTTTTTTCTTCTTTCAGGGCTGGGATCGAGCCCAGGGTTTCCTGGGTAAGTGATCCGCCATTGAGCCACATCCTTGGTGCAAAGACTGAGCTCTCAGGAGGATGGATTTTCTGAGCTCCTTATTCCATTCACCCTATGAGTCCTACCTTTCTCCTGCTCAACTATGAATTTTATTCCCGTCTTTATTGCTCCAGATTTTTGGAGTCTATTTTATCTTTTTATCTATTTTATCCTTTGCTTTACTTTGTGATTTTCCTTTCAGAAGGGTAAGAATGGCTCCCATTTCTTGCAGGTATAAGGTCTGCCTTTTTTTCTGTCACTTGGACCACAGGTAGACTGTTTATGGGTGCACATCCCCACTCCTCTCTCCACCCCAAACTCCACTGCTTTCTAGAATCAAGGGCTGCGGAGAAGTCTAATACCTTCCTGATTTGTTTCTCCTTTCAGCTAAACAAACCATTTCTTTTAGAGTTCTCCACCTCTAGGTGGGGCTTAAAAATAAAATCCTTTAAAGCCAGGCACAGTGGCGCACGCCTGTCATCCCAGCAGCTCAGGAAGCTGAGGCAGGAGGATCGCAAGGTGGAGGCCAGCCTCAGCCACTGAGCAAGGTGCTAAGCAACTCAGTGAGACCCTGTCTCTCAATAAAATATAAAAAAAGGGCTGGGGATGGGCCTCAGGGGTTAAGCACCCCTGGATTTACCCCCCAAAATTCTTTAAAAGTGTTTTTTCTTCCCCTCCTGTCCCCAAGGCCAAGATGATGTGGATCTCAACTCCCCTGGACAAGGGTGTCCACAACTACAGTGTCATGACCTTCAACTCCACTGTGCTTGCCAAGATGGAACTGTATCAAGAGACTGGCCAAGGTGTGTGACAGTCCCCAGTGAAACAATGGCGGTTGGCTAATCCCCTGACCCTTTCCTTTCTGACCACAGGTCAGCGGGTGACCTAGGTGTGCAGACAAAAGCCAGTTAGTGGAACAAGAAATGGGGTCAGGTGCTGGGAGAATTTGGTGTCACACTAGATGTGAATACTCAGCGCATGCTCCGATCCATGGCTGAGAACCACTGTAGGTTCCTTGGCTCTGGTGAGGGCTTTGGTGTGACCACTTATGGAAGGCGGTTGTCACCTGGAAGGAAATGCGTTGGTTCAGGTCTCAGCACCCACTACGTGTAGGTAGCAGTTTCATATGTTAAAGGGGACAGTAAATATGGCCTCTACGGGGTCAGGAGCTGTCATACCCTTAGCTGTTTCCAGTGCCCACTGGGACTCCTAATGGCCACTCAGCCACATCCAAGATGGCACCCGAGTCCTCTCTCCAGCCCACCTGCCTCTGCCACATCCAAGATGGCACCCGAGTCCTCTCTCCAGCCCTCCCGCCTCTGCCACATCCAAGATGGCGTGACTCTTCTCCCCAGCCTGCCTGCCTCTCTTTCCTAGGAGCCAGGGAGGAGGTTCACGTACTCACAGAACTACCTGTCCGCCATTGTGGAGCCTCAGGACTCACAGGAAGAGAAGAAAGCCCAGGAGAAATCCCGCCAGGCCTGGCTCACGGTCACTGGGTTCCAAGTGACAGGTCTCCATGGTGACATCCTCCATCAGGATTTCCCACTGCCAGCCATCGGAGAGTTCCATGAGGTTTGTGAGAGGAGCAGGGCTGTAGGTGGGCCTCCAGATGGCTTCTACCATCATCTCCAGAGGGCCTCCTTCCTCTGAACCTCCTTGTCCCCGCCCCCGACTCAGGAGTGGCAGGAACACGAGGTGCTCGATCACCTGCTGTACCCCATGTTGCATCGGGGCCGGTGGAGCTGGGACCGGCGCCACCTGGACTTTGAGCTGTACAAGAAGCCACCGCCTTTCCTGGAGGTGCCCCCTCCTCCAACCCGGAAGCCCGTTGCAGGTAACTGGGGAGACCTTGCCCAGCTGGTAGGCTGTAGGGGGGGACCCTGGCCCTTGGTCGCATCTTGAGCACCATCTGTTTGGTTCCAGGTGTCCACCTAGAGTTCCCAGGCTAGGCCTCCTGGTACAGAAGGGTCTTGCGCTGTCCCAAGGGCTGGAACTCAGCTGTGAATTCCAGCCCCAGGTGTGACGCCAAATGTGAGGTAAAGCCCCCCTGCTTTCCAGTGTCCTCCCAGCTCCAAGATGCTGCTGGACCTCCCTCTGTGGGGAAGAGAGGGAAAAAGCAGGGGAATCACCCCACCAGTCCCCCCAAGTCCTTCATCTCGTTTCTGGATTTTTTTCGGGGGGGGGGGGGGGGGGGGTGCCAGGGATTGAGCTCAGAGGCCCTCTACCACGGAGCCCCATCCCCAGCCCTACTTTGTGTTTTATTTAGAGAAAGGGTCTCGCTGAGTTGTTCAGGGCCTCACTTTTGCTGAGGCTGGCCTCCACCTTGTGATCCTCCTGCCTCAGCCTCCAGAGCCACTGGGATGACAGGCCTGCGCTCCCCATGCCTGGCCTCCCTGTTTCGGAAGAGTGGCCTCATCATCATTGAAAGGCATCACTGAAACACAGAACCCAAATTTGTTGGTTTGCAGAGACAGAAGTTTGTTTTAGGAGGGAGAGGTGAGTTTATCGAGCCACAAGTTGGCCAGAAAAAATTCCTCTGGGGAGCTAGCTCAACACAAGAGCTCTGAGCAGGAAGAGCAGGTCCCAGTGACTCGGAAGGAAGGCCACTGTCTCCTGGTGCCTGGACTTGGCTCCTTCCCTCCCAGGAAAGCCCTGGGCCTTCGGAGTTTGGAGAAGAGGAGAGCCGGCCAGTGTGGGAACACAAGGCCTGTCAGCGGGACTCCACGGCCAGCCTTCCCAGGTAAAAAGGACGACTGAGAAAAGGAGGCTGGAGTGGCCTGTCCTCCGCTGCATCAAGTTCAAGAAACATCACAACCTGTGAAGTGAAATGGGGGACCTAGACTGTGGCTACGCCTCTGAAGCCCCACGGGGTGAGCAGAGAACTGGCGCCACCAACAGGAGCCCTCAGGGCCCAGCAGTGGGGTAGTGTCTACGGCTCTTTCCAAGTTTCTCCTGTTCAAAGGAACTCCATGCAGCCTCCTGTCCCTGGCACTGTGCACTCTCCGTTTTGTGCCCAAGGTCTCTTTGCCATCACTAAACACAAGCTAGGAAAACAAAACTGAACAAGAAATTTAGGTTTCAGCAGAGTGCAGTGGGGCACGCTTGTAATCCCAGTGGTTTGGGAGGCTGAGGCAGGAGGGTTGCAAGGTGAAGGCCAGCCTCAGCAATTTGGCAAGGCCCTGAGCAACTCAGTGAGACCCTGTCTCTAAATAAAACAGAAAAACAGCTGGGGACAGGGCTCAGGGGTTAAGTGACCTTGAGTTTAATCCCTGGTACCAAAGTCACAAGACTTTTAGTCACCCAAACCGGAAGAACGCACTAGCTTGGCCCACGGAGCCCTGGGTTCTCTGCATTTCCACTCTTCTTGGGGACCAACCACCCTCACAGCACAGGGGGACTTGGAGCCCCACGTCACCCAGGGGTGACAGGAGCTTAAAGCCCACCAGGTGAAGCATGGGACCCCGCATGGCTTGCAGATGCTACCAGATGGTGGCCGAGAGAAACACAGAGGCCTGTTGAGGCCACCTACAGACGCCCCTTACCCTCTTCAGAAAGGGAGGCTGGTCCTTGCAAAGACACTGAGAAGCCCTGCATGGGCATGAGGTCCCGCTGCGTCCACCAGAAGGACCCAAGAGAAGGGACACTTGTGGAGCCCTGAGGTCAGGGACCAGGCCCTGACCTCTGGTGTTTGGGGCCCTCTTCTATTGGGGTGAGTGAGGACAAAGGGCTCAAAAAGCCACTGCCAAAGGGTGGCTCTCAGGATCATGCTGGTGTCCCTTAAAGGCTGGCTCTGAAGAACGAGGTGACTCAAGGCCAGAGGGGACACAGACTGTGACATTTTATATTCCTTTCTGTTGAACACTTCCCAGCACGTGCTGTGAGGGCATCTGCCTCCTACTTGGAGGTGACAAGGGCGCTGTTTCCCAGCTGTTGCTTGACCCTGTGGCTTGGTAGCAATGGCTGCCCGAGCCTCAGATGTCCGCGAGCTTCCTGCCACCAGCATGTCCCCAACCACCAGCACAATGGCGACACTGGTGACAGCGACTCTCTTCCCTGCGTCTTTGCTCAGGAGCTGCGGTGTAGCCTCCTGCAGGACCTGCAGTCCACACCAGCGGGTGCACACGGGGACAGAGGGTGGGACTTGTGACTTCCTGCAGTTCTCCACCTTCTGAAAAGAGGGTTGTCTAGTGTCAGCTGAGGCCCGGGGGCAGGGACACTGTCCTAGCGTCAGGACGCTCTCTCCAGAGGGTGGGCGCAGATGTAGGTCCGCTTCTCGAGGATCTCCCTGGACACTTTCTTAATTTGCTCATCCAAGTTCTCTGGAGCATCTGGGAGGGAAGAGAGGGACGGGGTGACCCTCCTTCTGCCCTGTGACGACACAAACAGGGCTGGGGGGTGGTGTTCTCAACCCCCCACTGTGCAGCTCAGGGGAGGGGGAGAGGCTTCTTGCTGAATTAAAAAGGGCTCGTCCCAGTCTCTTTTTTTGGTACTGGGGACTGAACCCAGGGGCCCTTGACCCCTGAGCCACCTCCACAGCCCTATTTCTATTTTATTGAGAGACAGGGTCTCCCTGAGTTGCTTGGGGCCTTGCTTTGGCTGAGGCTGGCCTCCACCTTGCAATCCTCCTGCCTCAGCCTCCTGAGCTGCTGGGGTGACAGGTGTGGGCCACCGTACTTGGCTTATCCTATTTAAAATGCCCAGACTGTAAGGGGCTAGGAGTGGGGAGAGGATCCTGATCAGGAAATGGCCAAATGGAGGTGAAACCGTTTCAACCACCTTCTGTCACATATGGCAGCCCTATGGTGAGCCTGGCCAGACCCCAGCACCAGGGACCACTAGATGTCACTGGCCAATGTCCTCACCATCGACAACAGACCTGGGCTCGGCACTGATGCCGATCCAGAGCCTGCAGCCAACAGGACCATGAGGGTCGGAGGAGACCCTGAGTGACACATTCCACGCTGTGGCCCAGGTGGAGGGAGGTGGCCAGGCACTCAGGGCAGCAGGCACCAAGGGGCATCTCCGAGGGTGGAGGCCTGTATAAAGCTATGTCCTCGTGACCTCCTCTGGGCAGGTGCCAGGACAGGGCTGGGCACTGTGGCGGGTGTGTCTCAGCCGGTCTCTAGATGGCAGGAGGCCATGGGGGCAGACCAGGCCTGGAACCCGTCCTGTCCCCACTTACACTTGTCTAGCTGCGACAGGCTGAAGAGGTTCTGGACGTAGGCCTCCGTGCAGAACATGTTGGCTAAGAGGATCTGTGGGGGCCGGGGTCAGAGAGGACAGCTGCTCAGGGCCCTGGAGCTGACCCAGCCCTTGGCCCAGTGGGCCCACAGGCCTGGCTCAGGACTTCAGTGACCCCTAGCCACTCTGTCCCCTAGCGCGGGCTCCTCAGCCTCTGAGATGTGTGCTCCCTCTCCCGTGAGGTGGACGGCCACCCCGCTGACCATTCTGCCCGTGCCCTGGGCCAGCGCACACGTGGCACGCAGGTGGACCGGTCACTTCGCCCCTTTCTTCTCTCAGGTAGGGGACCAAAGACGGCACATGGCCGGTTTCCTGGGCGGCAAGGACTGTCCTGTGGCCACAGTATGGCAAACCTGCCCAGCCTCCCGAGTGGCACCCTGGTGCGCCTCAGAACCTCGGCCTCTTCCAGTGACTGCCTGCACGCGCCATGGGCCCTAGCTCACCCGGCCCTCCTGTCCCAGAAGTCCTTGGTGGGGCTGCATCACCCGGGCCTGGGCTTCCCCAGCCACCAGCTTTATTAAAGTGCAGCAGGACCAAAGGCCTGGCTCACAAGTCCCAGCCCCACGTCTCCCTGCGGCTGCCACCTGCGCATGTTCTGTCCCCAAGACGAGCTGCTGGACTGTCCAGCCTGGCTCGCTGCATGGGGCCAGGGCGGGCTCACCTCGTGGTCGTGGTTCCGGAGTCCGATGCGGATGGAGCGGCTGGCCCGAGACAGCACGGCCACCCTGCCGTACAGGTTGAGGACGTTGGCCACCCGCTTCAGCACCAGCTGCTCCTCCACGACAGTCTGCGGACGAGGCTCAGCATGGAGACCAGCCACCTGGTCCCCTGGCCCTGACCCCCGGACACACCTCTCTTTTTTTCGGTCCCAGGGATTGAACACAGGGACACTTGACCCCTGAGCCCTGTCCCCAGCCCCTTTTATATTTTATTTAGACACAGGGTCTCGCTGAGTTGCTCAGGGCATCGATAAGTTGCTGAAGCTGGCCTCCACCTTGCGATCCTCCTGCCTCAGCCTCCTGAGACGCTGGGATGACAGGCGTGGGCCACCCGCCCGGCCTGGTTTTCCCTTCTCTTTGTCCTGCCTGCACTTGGGCAGGTGTAAGGCAAGCCCAGGTCCCAGGGCTCGGTGTGCTCAGGTCACCTTCAGGAGCACGTGGGGGTCACCCTGTGGACTCAGGCCAGGCAGACAGCCTGTCCCCTCCCCTCATTCCAGGGGGCCTGTCTCCATCTAGAAGGTACCCTGAGAAAACACACCCAGCAGGCGTTCCCAGGTGCAGGCGAAGCCAGCTGACTGCCCCTGTTCAGAGTGACCAAGGTGTCTGTCCCAGGCATAGTCCCAAAGGTGGCCGCTGGCCACAAGGCTGGCTGTGTCCCTGGCCGACAGGGCCTGCTCACCTTTTTCCAAACCGAAGCAGCAGATTCTCCAAGGCGCGGCCAAAGTAGTACACGTTCTCCTCGAGTTTGTTGGCACTCTCCTGTGGCCACAGGACAGGGCAAGGCTGGGCGCCCATTCCCCACTGGGCCCAGTCCTGTCCCATGTGACAGCACACAGCCCAGCGCTCCGGGTCCCACGGGGCACTAGCAGGAACCTCCTCCCCTGCAGGAACCCAGAGCCTAGCGCACCCTCCGCATGGGACCCTGTGGCTGGGCGTCCCCACAGTGGATCCACTTGCTGGGCCTACTCACCCCGAGGCTGGGGTGGACCACTCCAAGGTTGCCAGTCAGCCCCAGGTCCACGGTTCGGCCCAGAGAGTCCTAAATCCTCCGGCCAACATTTAAGTTCACTGCAGGGAGTTCAGGGTCCTAGGACTTGAGCCCTGACACAGGCTCCTGCTGGCACCAACAGAGCCCCCCACGCACCCCAGGGCCCTGTCGCCCACCCCAGCAAGACATGAAAGGCTCCTGGGCCCAGGGTGACTCTGGGCCTGCAGAGGGCAGCCGGGCCCCTCATGGGGCCTGTGCCTGTGGCATCTTCCCCGAGGAGGTCCCCCAGCGAAGGAGGCTGCCAAGTGCTATCTGCAGCCTGGACTCGGGCTTCATAGGACTCTAAAGGCTGCCACCTGGGACCAGGGCAAGATGGGGCAGGAAAGGTGACAGCAGAGGAACTGGCCTCTTGCTGGCTTTGAGGACAGACTCTCTCCTCAGTTTCTGAAATGTTGGCCACCCCCGGGGTGGTGACGGGGCTGCCTGTTGGAGGCGGATGGTGCTTGGGGACCGAGGGCTGTGTGACCCTAGGGCAGGCCTCTGTCCCCCGACTGGAGGACCGGCCCCGGCCTGGCTTCCTCGGTCCCGCAAGGCTGTCCCAGAACCGGGCAGCCCTTCCCTCTGCTCTCTGCTGGCCAGGCAGGGCCCTAGAAGCCACCATGGGAATGTCACCTACTGGATCCTCGCGGTGAGGATGTGGCCAGCGTGCTGCAGGCCCGTCAGGGCGATGAACATCCGGAGAATCTCGTTGGTCCCCTGTGGTCAGCGGGATGGAGGTCACCAGCTGTGCCAGGAGGTGGCCCAGCAGGGCTCCGGGGTTGGCAGGCCAGGCAGCGCCCACCGCCCGCAGCAGCGGCTTCCACCTCGCTGGCACCCCGAGCAGGGGACAGGAGGCAGGTGCACAGGGAGGTGCCCATGGCAGACAGTTGGCATGACCTCTCGAGGGGACCAGCGCCTCCCCTGGCCAGCCTCGCGGGGTCACCAGACTCCGTGACCAAAATACCCCAGCTCTCCCCAGTGCTGGGGGCACAGGAAGAACTGGACACAAGGGACACAAGTCCGCTGGCTCTGGGCTGAGGCCAGACTCCTCAGGGAGGCTGCTGACGGCTGGGTGCCACCTTTGTGCCAGGGTCCCTCCTGGCGGGCACAGCCCTGGCCTGGGGTATCCTTGGCCCTGGGAGAGTCCCTGGATCCTCCCACCCACGACCCTCAACAGCGCCAGACCTCGGTCATCAGAAGGGTCTCCTTTTTTACCTCAGTTATCACGCCCCCCGTCCCTGACCCCTTTCCCAACGCCACCATCTGAGCCAGGCCACGGGGGGAGGTGTGGCTGGTGCTTCTAGAAAGATCTCCTTGCTCTCTCTCGCTCTCTCCACCACCCGGGCTCGCCCTAAAGGTCCTGGGTGGGCCTGGCACATTCTATTTCCCTGTTTCTTGGCCCAAACTGCCCCTCTCTAACCCTCATAAGGCCACCTTGTCCCCAAGGGCCAAGGGTACCTGCTTCACAGGACCCAGCTCGCCAGGAGGACACGTCTTGCACTGCACGGGGACCACGCACCCTCCTCGGGCATCCGGGGGCACCAAGGTTGACTCTGGCCTGGCCCTGTCTGGTGGTCACTAAGCTGACCCTAGAGCTGGGACCGGAGCCCAGGTCTCCACAAAGTGTCTGTCCCACACCATGTGTTGGAGGGAGCTTGGCGAAGACCCACAAAGAGGTCCCAAGGGACCCTGGGCTCAGGCCTGAGCCGGCTGCTCGGCCTCCCCCAGCCTCTACCCTGGGCCACGCGGAGCTAGGAGGTTCCACAGGAGGCCACGGCCTGTCCTGGGCCCTGTGGCTGTGCCCTCGGTAGCACTTCCCAGGTCCAAGGAGGCAGCGAGGGGGGAGGGGGTGCAAGCAGGGCTCCCGGGGACACAGCTGGACGGGTCTCACCTCGAAGATGAGGAGGATGCGGGTGTCACGCAGCATGCGCTCATAGGGGTAGTCCTTCATGTACCCCAAGCCCCCCAGGATCTGCAGCACCTCGCTGACGCATTGCCAGGCACTCTCGGAGCTGAACACCTGCCACAGACCAGGGTGAGATCAGCACAGGGGCTCTTGGGGCCAAGTCCCTCCACGAGGACGTGGGCCTGGGGGAGCTGTGGCTGGGGAGGGCTGGGAGGCTCTGTTGGCAGAACTGGGACTTGAGGACGAGACTAACCCCAGGAAGAAGTCACCAGGTGACCATAGGCAAGGCCTTCGGCAAGTCCTGGGACACAGTGACCAGCTCCCTCCAGGACCTCACATCCCTCTACAGCCTTCCTCCACCCCTTCCCCTCCTGGTCGCCTCCTGGGCTTTCAAGAACCACACAGGGCTAGGTGCTGGGTCACACGCCTATAATCTCAGCACTCAGGAGGCTGAGGCAGGAGGATCGCAAGGTGGAGGCCAGCCTCAGCCACTTAGGCCCTAAGCAACTCAGCGAGACCCTGTCTCTAAATAAAATAGAAAAAGGGCTGGGGACGGGGCTCAGTTGGTTTAATCCCCAGGACCACCCCCCCACACACACCCTAAAGAAGAGCTCAATCAATTCCAGAGACCAGGGCCTTGTACCTGCTGGGCCACCCACCCAGCCTGCCTGCCATCTGCCATCTTGTTTATTATAGCTAAAAATGACACTCTCCAAACAAAAGCATCGGGAAACTCTGGGATCTACCTTATCGAACATTCCAGAAAAAACATTCTGATACCACCAAGAAGCCCATGAGCTCAAAATAAAAGACGCCCTTCTCAGGAGAGCCCGGCTGCTGTTTTATGTACCCTCACGTGAGGTCATGACGGCTGTGCTGGCTCCTGTGGCTCCAGGCCACCAAGGGCCAGGCAGAGGTCAGCACCCTGGGACACTGTTTACTGCAGCTCCAGCCGCACCCTAGGGCCGTCCTCCTTACCCCTGGAGAGCTTCCCACAGGGCCACAGCATCAGGGCTGGACCAAGGACGATCTGACCTATAGACTACAGAGAGACCGGAAGTGGGGGTGACACTGTGGGGTGCAGGAAAGGGGCCGCCCTCGGTAGCTCTCGTGCCAGCTCTGGGCCGTGACAGGGTTACCTTCACCATGGCTGCCTCCACGGAGCAGTCAGGCAGCTCGGGCTGGTTGAGCATGCCCGCCGTGAGGTAGGCCATGCTTTCCATGACGTAAGCCTTCTGAGCCATCAGGGCGAATTCTCCTGGAAGGTTCAGAAAGACACAATCAGGAAGCAATCTGAGGGTGGGCTGGGGCGCAGGGTGCTGGCCTAGCATGTGCGAGGCCCTGGGTTCCATCCTCAGCACCACAAAAAAAAAAAAAAATGCCATCTGATCTAGGTGCACTGGCGCGCACCTGTCATCCCAGTAGCTTGGGAGGCTGAGGCAGGAGGATCGTAAGGTGGAGGCCAGCCTCAGCCACATAGTGAGGCCCTGAGCAACTTAGCAAGACCCTGGCTCTAAATAAGATATAAAAAAGGCTGGGGATGGGGCTCAGAGGTTGAGTGACCCTGGGTTCCATCCCTGGCACCCCCCCACCAAAAAATAAATAATAAAAGAATCAAATTGGCTGACACCAGATGCCCCAAAAGTCAGAGCCCCACTTCCAGCATCTGGGTCAGAGACAGGAGACTGCTCCTCCTGGGTCTGTAGACAGTGGGCACAGGGGACCGACATGGGTTTTAGTCCTGGCACTGCTCATGTGGGAGCCTGGCCAAGCCCCACCCAACTCTGCCTCCCCCGAGTGGCTGTGATGAGGTAACCAGGGGGTAGGCAGGGGGTGCCCAGCCAAAGCCAGGTCCACTGAGCACCCCATTCTGTGGGAGGGGCCCACTGCCACCACAGGTGCTTGGGACTAAAGCAAGAGAGCCTGGCTTGAAACCTGGGCCCGGGCCCAAGGGGTGTGGCTGTGAATAGGGGGGTTCTAGGGACAGTGGAGTGACAAGCCAGCTCCCAGCCAGACAGCCCCGCCTGTTCTCTGAAAGCTCCCACTGAGCCGGGCTTAGGGCCCCCATCTGTGTCCCAGTGACTCAGGAGGCTGAGGCAGGAGGATGGCAGGTTTGAGCCCAGCCTCAGCCACTGAGTGAGGCCCTGTCTTGAGTCCCCTGATGCTCCAGGGGTATGTGGAGGCCTGCCCGGGCAAGGTGGTCTCCAGGTGTCCACATAGGGACAGACTCACGGGCCCAGGCAGGTCGCTGGCCAACAGAAGAAGAGGGACACGGGGAACGCGGAGGCTCCTAGGCCAGAGTGGGGAAAGCAGGACCAGACAGTGCCACCAAGGGTCCCGGCCCTGACTTACCTACCAATCAGTTTCTTGAGCATCCCGGCCACCACGCTGCCCACGCTGAAGCGCCCGCTGTTGAGGATGTTCATGGCCACCCGGCAGGAGCAGGCAGTGAGGGAGGAGGGGACAGACCACTCCAACCTGTTTCCCAAAGAGGGTTCTTCTTTTTATGGCGAGGGGGGCTCTCGACCCCTGTGCCCCGTCCCCAGCCCGATTTTGTACTTTATTTAGAGACAGGGTCTCGCTGAGTTGCTGAAGGTCTCATTTTTGCTGAGGCTGGCCTCCACCTTGAGATCCTCCTGCCTCAGCCTCCCGAGTAGCTGGGATGACAGGCTGCGCCACCGCGCCTGGCCCCAGCACTATGATTTAAAAACAAAAGTTGCCATGGTGATTGGTGAAAAACGATTGCTTTAATATGCAGAGGAAAAGAGACTTCTAACATTTTTCTGGGTTACTAGTGTGCTTGCTGCCCTCAGCCTGAACATGAAACGGAATGGCACACTCCAGTGAATCCAGAGGTCTCAGTGTGACCGAAGGCCAGGTGACGTGAGCGGCTGCTGGGAGGGCTCTTTCCTCTTGGGTGGTCAAAAGGTTATATCAATAGAAGCAGCAGCCAAGTGACAGGGAGGGGCTGTTCAAAAACGGACTGAAGAACATAGCTGTAAACATAGGAGGAGGCCAGGGCGGGGGCACACCAGCAGCTCAGGAGGCTGAGGCAGGAGGATCGCAAGGTGGAGGCCAGCCTCAGCGACTTAACAAGCCCCTAAGCAACTCAGCGAGACCCTATCTCTAAATAAAATATAAAAAGTTCTGAGGACGGGGCTCAGGGGTCAAGGGCTCCTGAGTTCAATCCCTGGTACCCTTCCCCCCAAAAATAAAAAAATAAAAATAAGGACAGTCTTATCAGGAATGTGACAACATCAGAGTGTGAAAACACTGTGCAGCACAAGGGTCCCATCCACGTACCCAAAAAAAAGATTGTCATGACTCACTGATGAGTGGAATACACAGGCTGTAATATGCGACACACAAACTACGTAAGTGACATGCGTGACTTCAAGATCTAGAACGCAATGACACTGTGAAGGCAGGCAACTCTGGGAGTGGGCATCCCAGGCTTTCACCCAGGCTGTGTGAGTGACCACCTGCACTGCCATCTTTCTCGTCTCTGTCCTGTGATCCCTGAGCAGACTCCTCTGTCAGGAACCTGATTCTCGTAACAGCAGGCAGTGAGTGCAGGGGGCTGGGGTAGAGCAAAGTGGTGGAGCCTGCTTAGGTGAGGCCCTGGGCTCAGGCCCCAGCACCTTGAATAGAATTGGGTGGAATGGAAAAGAAAAGGGCAAAGGATTTGAAGAGATATTTCTTCAAAGACTAGCTACAGATAAAGAAAGTGTGGTCCAGATACACAGTGGAATATTACACAGCCTTAAAGAAGAATGAAATGGTGGCATTTGCTGGAAAATGGATGGACCTGGAGACTATCTTGGCAAAATAAGCCAATCCCCGAAAAAACAGGGGTGAATGTTTCCTTTGATATGTGGTTGCTGATTCACAATAAGGTGGGAGGCATTAGGGAAGAAGAGAGGTGTTCTGGGTCAGGTGGAGGGGAGTGAAGGGAGGGGAGGGGATCTGGGGGTAGAAAGGAGAGCAGAATGAATTGGACATCGTCACCTTCTGTGGCTACATGACTACATGACCAATGTGAGCCTACATCATGGACACCCAGAGGAATGAGACATCATGCTCCATTTACCTGCTGTCACGGGTCACTAATTTTTAGAACAGAAATGAGAAGACCACATAGAGACGGCTGTGAGCCCGCGGAAAGACGCTGAGCAGAACTGGTCATGAAGACAATGAAAACTTAACCCCACTGAGATCCCACTCGACACCCACAGGATGGGTCTTCATTATTGGATTGGCATCAGCAACAAGGACCCAGCTTTTGACAACAATCCCAGCGGCTTAGGAGGCTGAGGCAGGAGGATCCCAAGTTGGAGGCCAGCCTCAGCAAAAGCGAGGCCCTGAGCAACTCAGCGAGACCCTGTCTCTCGATAAAATACAGAATAGAGTTGGGATGGGGCTCAGGGGCCCCTGGATTCAATCCCTGGGACCCCTCAAAAAAACACCCCCTACTGTGTGATTCCACTTCTAGGAAACGTTCAGAACTGACAGATGCCCTGAAGCGCACAGTCAAGAGGTAGTTCCCGGAGCACAGGGGAAAGGTGGGGCCCAAGACATGGCATCACTCTGGATGACATCACTCTGGTGTCCTGCAGTCAGAGGGGACGGCTGCGCAGCGTTGTGAGTACGCTGAAGACAACAGACGTGTGTCTTACGGTGGCCAATTTGAGGTCATGGGAATTGTTTCTTAATAAAAGAAGAAATCCAAACACTCGGGGCTGGGACTCCAGATTAAGGGCTGTGCGTTAGCTTCTCTGGAGCTCAGTGGGGACAGGAGTCACTTCCCTTTCTCAGGATAATGGAGGCCTTGTGAGGAAGGAAGTCCAGGGCTAAGCAAAGACTCCTTTATCTGGGTTTGACTGGTCACCCATTTTTTTTTTTTGGTCCCAGGGATTGAACCCAGAGTCACTTAACCCCTGAGCCCCGTCCCCAGCCCTTTTTATATTCTATTTAGAGACAGGGTCTCACTGAGTTGCTTAGGGCCTCACTAAGTGGCTGAGGCTGGCCTCCACCTTGCGATCCTCCTGCCTCAGCCTCCTGAGCTGCTGGGATGACAGATGTGCACCACCGTGCCCAGGTTGATTCATGTTGCTGACATGCCAGATAGTCACACCCAGTCACAGGTCAAGCATAGTCCGGTCTGCTAGGAGCAGGGACAGATAGAAAGTGGGACCACCACGTGGGGCTCAGCCAGCTACTCACCTTAAAGCCACCTCCAACTTCTCCAAGGACATTTTCCACGGGGACTTTGGTGTTTTCAAAATGGACCTCGCAAGCTGAAATATGAAATGTAAGACTTTAGCAGACAAATACAAACCTCTGTCCCCCGGACCCCAGGCATGTGGTGCACTCATTCTGTTATGGTCTGGATCAATCAACACAATTGATAAGTTATTGATTATAGATTAAAAACTATGGATTAGTAAAACAGTAAGTAGAGCCATAGTGACTCCATCTTTGTTTTTAAGAATTATTAAAAATTTGTGTCTGGAGTTGTGGCTCAGTGCCAGAGAGCTTGCCTACATGCAGGGGGCACTGGGTTCGATCCTCAGCACCACAAAAATGTCAAATGAAGTTATTGTGTCCACCTAAAACTAAGAAACAAACATTTTAAAAAATTTTTGTTTTTCTGTGCTTCATCCATCTGCAAACATACTTGGACCCAGGATGTGGGGTCCGACTTGCTGTGCTCACTGCTTTTCTGAGCCCTTGAACCCTGGACCTTGGACAACAATCCCAGTGGATCAGGAGGCTGAGGCAGGAGGATCCCAAGTTGGAGGCCAGCCTCAGCAACTCAGCAAGGCCCTAAGCTACTCGGTGAGACCCTGTCTCTAAATAAAATACAAATTCCATGCAATTCGCAGATTCCATAAGATGTGGTTTTCTTCCTTACATACTGGACCACAGACAGCCTGGCACGCTTCTGGGAGAGGCCACTGTGCGTGGCAGAAGTGTCCCTGGCTGGGCAATAAGCTCTCTAACTCGTTTTGGATTCGGGTGTCCCCTGAGCGGTGTCCCTGTGCCATTCAGCACATGCAGGGACAGGACGGGGCAGAGCTCCTGTCTTGGTGGAGTTCAGGTGTTGGTCAGGGAGATGAAACTAGAAACTGCTGGCCCCTGTGGGCAGGACTCTGACTCCCTGACGTCACCTGTGCCACCAGCCTTCTCTCGTGGGCCCTGTTCAATAGCAGCAGCACCACTCACCCTAACTTTTGTGGACATGGGGTCCCCACAGAGCTGGCCCCAGGCAGCCCGACCTCCTTCCTCCCAGGCACCTGCCAGGCTGTCTTTAGAGAGAGAAGGTGGCAGAGGGGACTGGGCGGTGGCTCAGGGGCAGAGCACTTGCCCAGCGTGTGTGAGGCACTGGGGTCGATTCTCAGCACCACACAGAAACAAATAAATAAAGGTCCATCGATAACTAATAAAGATCTTTAAAAAAAATTCTTAACTGGTGCTTTATAATTATACTTCACGCTGGGACTCCCTGTGCCACAGCTGTACATGTGCGTGACATAATTTGCTTCATCTAGGACCTTCCCTCTCCTCCTCCTCCTCCCTCCCCTGATCCACTTGCTCTACTTGATGGATCTCCCTTCTATTATTATTATCATCATTATTTAAGTTACTGCATCATCCATTACATACATAAAAGCAGGACTCAGGCTGGGTGCAGTGGCCCACGCCTGTCATCCCAGCAGCTCAGGAGGCTGAGGCAGGAGGATCACAAGGTGGAGGCCAGCTTCAGCAACTTAGCGAGGCCCTGTCTCTAAATAGTTTTAAAAAGGGCTGGGGACAGGGCTCTGTGGTCAAACTCCCCTGGTGAGCCTCACTGGGCCCTTCATCTCCCTCCAGCTTCCACAGGGGAGAACAAAACTGCACCCTCCGATTTCCTGAGCCCAAAGCCAAGGTCTAGAGGAGCTGAGGCCGAGAGCAGCCCCTTCCTCTACCGCCCGGTTCTGCACCACCGGTCCCCGGCCCCACAGCGACTGTGCGGAGGGCTCCGGTGGAGCTCAGGCTCCCTGGGCCTCAGGCAGGGAGATGCTGTGCGGGATTCTGCCACCTGGAAGGCAGGGTCCCAACAGAGTTGGGCCCAGGAGTGGCCGTGGGAGCATGCGGTCCCCTCCAGGAGGCACACCGAGACCTCAACTAGAAGGAGCAGGAGGACCCCAGGATGGGTGGATGGATGCAGGCCAGCGAAGGACCCCTGCCTCCAGTGAACGGCGCTCAGCAGGGCCAACAGGTAGGCTTGGGAGGGCAGGAGGGGATGCGAGAGGACGGAGGGTCCAGCAAGGAACGAGGGGGTGGCTTGTCCTAGGATTTTACCTACGACATTTTTTCTTTTTGGTACCAGAGATTGAACCCAGGGGTCCTTGACCCCTGAGCCCTGTCCCCAGCCCCATTTTGTATTTTATTTAGAGACAGGGTCTCCCTGAGCTGCTCAGGGCCTCACTGTTGCTGAGGCTGGCCTCCACCCTGCGATCCTCCTGCCTCAGCCTCCCGAGCCTCTCGGATGACAGGTGTGCACCATCGCACTGGCTTACTCAGGACACTGGCTGTCGGCCTTTGTGGTTTCTGTTCCTCTGATGGCCTTATCCCTCTGGAAGCCACCAAAGCTTAACACACAGAGTGGTGCCCAGCCAGTGACTGCAGAATAAATGAGTAATTTCCAGGAGCTCACCTATCACCAGGGAAGTCTTCAATGGCCTTTCTACCAACAATGTTGACTTCATGCCCAAACTATTTATTTGTGACTGGGAACTGAACCCAGGGAGTACTTCATGACCAAGCTGCACCCAAAGTCCTTTTTATTTTGAGACAGAGTCTTGCTAAGTTGCTGGGAGTTAAATGTGGAGGCTGGCCTCAAAGTTGTGATCCTCCCGCCTCAGCCTCTTAACTCAGGTGTGTGCCTCCTTGCCTGGCTACGTAAGTATTTAAATCTTATTTACCTGGATATTTGGACAGACCAGAGGGCCAGACACACACTGTCACATTCATACACACACATAGACACCCACACGACTTACTGTTGGAGCCCCGAATGCCTAATTGATCCTCTGGTTTCCCATTAGTGACTCCACCAAAGTCCCTTTCCACTATGAAAGCTGTCATCTTGTCTTTTACTGAGCCATCGGAACTGACCACCTCAGTCTTGCAAACACAGTGAAAATGTTGGCCAGTCCCCCATTGGTGATCCAGACCTGAGGACAGAGAGCAAGGGGTCCTCAGAGACTCCTCTCGGCTCTACCACCACCTGTGAGGCCCCAACCGAGGCACTTATTTTCATCTTTTTTTTTGGCACCAGGGATTGAACCCAGGGGTGCTTGACCCCTGAGCCCTGTCCCCAGCCTTTTTTATATTTTATTTAGAGACAGGTTCTCGCTGAGTTGCTGAGGCTGGCCTCCACCTTGCGATCCTCCTGCCTCAGCCTCCTGAGCTGCTGGGATGACAAGCGTGTGCTTTACTTCGACATTGATTCAAGAGGCATGAGCTAATTTGGGAAATCTGAATGGCAACTAGATAGTAAGAAAGCCATAACGGTATCCCAGCTCTCTGTCTCTTAGGGGTCCGTGTTTGAACTGTGACAGATGCAGTCAAGAGGCCATCTTGATGGAAGAGACCCAGCCAGCTGTGAATGGGTACCTGATGGCCTGTGCTCAGTCAAGGACGGGCACCGTCCAGACCTACGGATGCATGAAATTCTATGCAACTAAGACTTCTGGCTCCGGGCGCAGCTGGTACTCCAGCATCAGGGACACTGTGGCCAGGCCTGGCTGTCACCAGAGGGACAGAGGACCTGTGTAAGCCACTTGAGGACTGAGCACTGCTCCTGAAAAAGGAGGAGCATCCACCTGCTGGGTAGTCACCAGAGGGTCACAGACCTGGGCACAGGAAGAGGCCCAGCGGTGGCAGTGAAGGCGGCCACCGAGACCTGACAGGGCGGGGTGGTGAGGCTGTACCTTGGAGCCATTGAGGACGTAGTGTTTCTTGTCTTCACTTAGCATGGCCCTGGTCTGGATGGAGGCGGTGTCACTCCCGCTGCAGAGACAGAGAGACGTGGGTGAGACGTGGGGAGAAGAACCCTGGGAATACACCAGAGTCAGCCGAGAGCCTGGAAATGGAGGGTCTTAGGAGTTAAGTCCACAGGAGGCGACACAGCCTCTAAACACAGGGTCAGACGATATACAGGGTCAGCTTGGCAAGGTACAGCTTGTCCCACCCCCACGCTGCTGCTGCGACATGAAAGTGCCTCTCAATGTAGGCTATAAGCACATGGCACATTCCAGTAAAATTTTCTTTAAAGCTGGGTGCTGTGGTGCACACCTGTCATCCCAGCAGCTCGGGAGGCTGAGGCAGGAGGATCGCAAGGTGGAGGCCAGCATCAGCAAGTCAGACAGGCCCTGAGCAACTCAGCAAGATCCTGTCTCTGGATGACCATTCCAGGTTCCCCTGTGAAGGGAGGCAGCATTAGGCATAGCCTGATCACAAGACCTCAACTTGAGTCCTACCCAGCCCTGTCCCCATCTAGCTATGTGATGCCCCCCACGGAGCCTCCAGCTCCTAATCTGAAGATGGAGACCCACCGTGCACGCCCCGCGTGTTCTGAAAGGTGCCTGGATGCCCGTATGTGTCCCGAGGGCCAAGGGGGCTGTCAGTAACAAACACCAGGGTGACAGAGGCTGGCGGGTACTTATCTCGTTGGGAAACAGAAATTAGGCAGAGATAAGAGAAGTGGCCAGAGAGCAGCTTCAAGTCTCTGTGAGGCCTCAGGTGGGGACAGAATGAGGTCAGCCACTCCTGATAACAGCCCTCTGTCCCAGGGAGCCCTGGACATGGCCCGTGGCTGTGGGAGTCGGCTCAGGGGAGGGCAGACCTGGCTGGCTCAGTGAGGCAGAAGGTGGCAATGTGCTCCCCGACGCCAGTCTGGGCAGGTACTTGGCCTTCTGTTCTTCGGTGCCAACCAAGATGATTCAAAGAAACGCACAGACATTTTTTATTTGTTCCTTTCGGCCACAAAGGGCGGCAGAGTGTTCTGGGACATACCACACCTACACGGGGGTGTGACTTCCCATTCCTGTGGCTGGACCTGCTGTGGGGTGCCCCTGGTCGTGTGATCCTATGTGAACATGGGAAAGTGACGTCCATTCGTTCCCCTGTCTCTCCCAGTCCCCTCCCCTCCCTTCCCTCTACTCCCCTGCATCTCATCTAGTGAACTGCTGTCCACCCTCTTATTGTGGGTCAGCATCCCCATATCAGAGAGGACACTCAGCCTTTGGTTTTTGGGACTGGCTTATTTCACTCAGCATGATCGTCTCCAGCTCCATCCATTTACCAGCAAATGCCATCATTTCATCCTTCTTTAAGGCTGCGTGATATTCCTCTGGGTATATAGACCACAGTTTCTTTATCCATTCAACTGCTGAAGGACACCTCGGCTGGTCCCGAAGTCTCCAGACTGCTTTCCATAGTGGTGACACCACTGGCACTCCCAGCACTGTGTGCATGAACCTTTCCCCCATATCTTTGCTAACATTATATCACTTGTTTTCCTGACAATCGCCATCCACAGGCTTGTCTTGGCTGTGAAGAGCCGAGAGCGAGTCCTGATGTCCCTCGTGAGGACGATGCTGACGTCCTGCCAGAAAGGACAGCAGGCATCCAGAGCTGACGGCCGTAGGTGGGGGCCGGCTGCCGAGAGGCCCCTCCTGCACCTGCCCCAGGGCAGTGTTTTGGGCTTAGACTCTGGGATCTTCATCCAGACCCTTCCTCTGCATGGCAGGGCGCCCAGGGCCTGGCCTGTCCTCCTCTGAGTCCCCACTTTGTGATCTCCAAGTGGGGGCTGCCCCTCCTAGCTGGTGCTCTGGATAATGGGAGGTGAAGACGTGGGAGGGCTGGGACCATGTGCAGCCAGTGTCCCCAGGGTCCCCTGCTCTCTGGGGAGGGCTGCTGGGCCTGCATCTCTTCCCCTACATGTCTACACGGAGCACAGGGAACCCTCATGGGACTGCCACTGAGACTTGTGTGTCCCTGGGCCTGGCCCAGTGGGGTAAGAAGTCAGATGCACACACAGCGGGGGACAGCCCAGGGAGCCCGCTCCTGGCCCACAGAACATTCCACCTCATTCTCAAAGAAGGGGTCAGAGCTGGGCAGGCAGGACAAGGGTTTAGTATGAAGGGATGACATGAGCAAAGGGCCACTGATACATGGGCCAAGGAGAGGCCACACGTATGGTGACCACGAGTCCCGAGAGTGGCTAGAGCGAGTGGTGTGGAGGTGGACTCACCCTCCAGGACCTCGATGTATCAGGCCCGATGCCCTGCTCACAGGGGCAACCATGACCCTGTACCCTGTCCCCTTCAGAGAGCCCCAGGGAGAAACCCCAGCATCTGACCTTGAGGCCTATGGCTTGGTGTGCTGCTATTGTCACAGTGATGGAGCTGTCTAGGCTGATGATCTCTAGGTCCTAGACGAGCGTACATGGTGTTGGAAAGGCCCAGGGCACCTAGGAGGGAGGGAACCATGTTAGTCACAGTTCAGCCCACCTCCTCCCATTAAGGCAAAAGGTTTCACTGCCTTTTACTTCTTTTGAATTACGTAAGTAAAACTGGATCACCATTAAAAAATGGGTACGAGGGCACATTTCTGCAATTCCAGAGGCCCGGGAGGCTGAGGCAGGAGGATCACAAGGTGGAGGCCAGCCTCAGCAACTTAGTGAGGCCCTAAGAGACTCAGCGAGACCCTGTCTCTAAATAAAATATAAAAAAGGCTGGGGCTGGGGCTCCGTGGGAGGGCACTTGCCTAGCAGGTATGAGGCACTGGATTCAATCCTTAGCACCAGGTAAAAATAAATAAATAAAATCAAGTTATACCGCTGAATGCTGATCTGGCCTCAACTTTCACCTTGGTTAGTCTTAGCATGGACCAGCTCTAGGTTAGGGACCAAGAGGAAATTATGGTACAGATTTGACAGCCCCTGTCCTCTGCTGCAGGAAGTAAGGTCTCCCTAGAGACCAGGCAGGGAAGAGAACAGAAAGAGACACTTCCGTGGATTACTGTGGAAAGTCTAACTCGTGAAACACACTCAACAGTGCATCTCCAAAGGACCCGCTGCAGCCTGGAAATGTGCCTGACCCTTAAAGCACCACCGAGCCCTGTCTCGCCCACACCTGCAGAGCCTCCATTAATGGCTGGTGGAGGCCGCCCCAGCAAGGCCCGGGGACAGGCAGGACGAAGGACCAGGGCCACCATTTGGTCTAGGTGGTGTACCTTCAGAACAGCAGCCTCTCAGGGAAATGCAGAGTGACCCTCATGAGCCACACCAACCAGGGAGGCTCCTCCACTTACCATATTCTTCGGGGACCTGCATTCCAAAGAGACCCAGGCTTTTCAACTTTTCCAGGGTGTCGTCTGGGATTTTCCCCTCCCGGTCAATTTTCTGAGAATCCACTGAGAAAAGAAAACATCTTGATGAAACAAAATATGAGCAAGCCATCTTCATGCAGAGAAAGGGACTCAGAATGTTTTTGGCAGAGCATCTAACCCCAGTGCTAGCAGTTTCTCAAAACTGCTCGAAACTTCTAGAAGGATTCTTGAAAATTCTCAAAACTGTCTAGTGATGGTCACATCGAATCACTGACTTGATTTGATGTAGTTTGTAGAATTGTGGTTTAAAGCCATCAGGGCTAGGTGGCTGTCTGCTGACCTGGTCACTGGTCGCCTGGTGCCTTAGCCATGTGAGATGGTGGTCAACTCCATGCTTATGAGATGCAGATGCCTGCACATGCTTGACTCGACTGTCCAGGAGATGGGGAGGCACACAACTCCTGGTGTATGGCTGCAACACTAGGCCAATCCCCCCACCCAGGCAGTGACCGGGGCTCCCTTCACCCCACTGTCCAAAAGCCTCCACGGTGTCACCACAGTCTGCAGGCTGAGCCCCAGCCCCAGCCCTTTTTATATTTTATTTAGAGACAGGGTCTCACTGAATTGCTTAGGGTAAGCTGAGGTTGGCCTCCAATTAGCAATCCTCCTGCCTCAGCCTCCAGTCTGATCAGCATCGATTCATCCATCAACATGCACACCCATGAGGGCAAAAGGGAACAGTCTCTAGCACGGGATTAGAAAGTGTGTCCTTCCTATGTGTTACAGTAATGCTTTTCTGTATGTGTGTCGGAGGGTTACTGGGGATTGACCTCACGGACACTCAAACCCTGAGCCCCGTCCCCAGCCTATTTTGCATTTAACTTAGAGACAGGGTCTCACTGAGCTGCTTAGGACCTTCCTATTGCTGAGGCTGGCTTTTTCCTGCCTCAGCCTCCCCAGCCACTAGGATGACAGGCATGTGTCACAATACCTGGCCTATCAAGAACCCTTTTTTAAAAATTTTTTAGTTGTCAATGAACTTTAGTTTTATGTGGTGCTGAGAATCGAACCCAGTGCCTCACACATGCTAGGCAATGTTCTACCACTGAGCCCCAGCCCCAGCCCCCCATCCAGAATTTTTGGCACAAATTATTCAAGGCCTACATACTAAAAACCCCACGCATAAAACACTAAGAGAAAATAAAATGACCTAAATAAGGGGGAAGATAGGCCAAGATGCCGTACTCTCAGTTCCTCATCACGCTGATTCATGAACTTTATGAAACCCCAGCCAATGCCACAGGCCTGCTGAGAACAGAAGGCTGATTCTAAAACTCCCTGGGAGTCCAAAGGGCCTGGAGTCCACATGACTTCAGAAGACAGCCAAGCTGAAGGGCCAGCACTGCCCAGTTCTGAGCTTATTAGAAGGCCCAGTAAATAGGTCAAGGGAATGTTTGTGGGAACAGGAGAGAATGTAGGATTCAAAACAGACCCACACCTAAATGGTCCATCTAGTTTTGATGGAGGTGTCTGGTTAATTCAATGGGGAAAGAATATTCTTTACAGTAAGCGCAGCTGAACAGTTGGATATTGTCCCATTGTTTCAAAACCCCCAAAAAGTCACCCTCAAACTTCTACCCCACGCCACAGACCACATTAACCTGGGTCACATCACAGATCTAAATGTAAGAGCTATCTAACTATGGAACTTGAAAAGAAAAGACAGATGAAAATTGTTATGGACCTGGTGTTTTTCCCATATACGATGCAAAAAGCGCAAACTAGCAAAGAAAAAAACTTGCACTTTATCCACATTAAAAACTTTTTTTAAATTTTTATTGTTTTTTTTTTTTTTTTTTTTTTTTTTGGTACCAGGGATTGAATCCAGGGGCACTTAACCACTGAGCCACATCCCCAGCCCTTTTTAATATATTTCATTTTGAGACAGGATCTCACTGAGTTGGTTAAGGCCTTGCTAAGTTGCTGAGGCTGGCCTCCAACTTGGGATTCTCCTGCCTCAGCCTCTTGAGCCACGGGATTATAGGCGTGCAGCACTGAGCCTTAATCTTGGTAGCTTTTAATAAAGCAGCAATTTGTATGGTCTCTAAAGCAAAGTATTATGAATTAATGACACTCAAGAGGACCTCCTTTATACTGATACTGCTCCTAATATAAATATCGATGTGGGATGGGGCAGTGGCTCAGTGGTAGAGCACTTGCCTAGCATGTGTGGGGCACTGGGTTAGATTCTCAGCACCACACATAAATAAAATAAAACCCACCAACAACTAAAATATATATTTGAAAAACTATTGATGCAATCACTCTTACAAGGAAAATGAGAGATGATGAAGAAACCACACCTACCTTCTTCATTGAAGAATTTTTCCACGGGTCCCACAAACTGATTGATTTCGTTAAGTTCATCTTGGCTAACCTCTAGAAATGGGAAGACTCCTTTCTAAAAATGACAAACATTTACTTATTATTATTATTATTATTATTATTATTATTATTATTACTTAGTATTGGCAATTGAACCTAGGGGCACTTAACCCCTGAGCCCCATCCCCAGCCCTATTTTGTGTTTTATTTAGAGACAGGGTCTCACTGAGTTGCTAAGGGCCTCACTAAATTGCTGAGGCTGGCCTCCAACTTGTGATCCTCCTGCCTCAGCCTCCCAAGCTGCTGGGATTCCTGGTGGCACACACCTGGAATTCCAGCAGCTCGGGAGGCTGAGGCAGGAGGATCACAAGTTCAAAGCCAGCCTCAGCAAAAGCGAGGCACTAAGCAACTCAGTGAGACCCTGTCTCTAAATAAAACACAAAATAGGGCTGGGGACGGGGCTCAGTGGTCGAGGGCCTCTGGGTTCAATCTCTAGCAGCCCTCCCCTCAAAAAAAGGCTGCTACTGGAGAACACACTGCGGTTGCCAGGCCTGACTCCCCAGAGCTGCTGTCCCTCCTGCCACTGCCAGTGACTCCCTGAGCTTACTGTGCCAGAGAGGAGGATCCCACTATTCCTCTTGCGACTGATCAAGGCTCCCTGTGCTGAGGGTGTGCAGGGTGCAGTCACGGGGCGAGGCCTGGTTGTGCAACACATCAACCTGAACTCAGCCTGGGCGTGGCTGCTCCTTAGATGTGGGGACTGGGCCACTCCAAGGCCTCTCTCTGAGCCAATTTCACTTTAATCTCACATGATCCTGATCATTTCAAAAGCACCTGGGACATTCAAAACAGGTCATGTGTGCTGCAAGATGCAGGAACTAAATCTCAGTGTCTGATTCTGGCTCTGCTCCTGTCCACAGCTGTGGCCTACAGAGTGACTTAGCTTCCAGGCTCTGATTTGTCACCGTGAACGGCCAACGAGGCCAGGACGCCCTGCTGGCTTTTGAATTCATCTGGAAGTGACCTGAACCACGGGCCTTCTGGGTTCCAATCCCCCTTCAGCTGATGCCATGACATGAGGATGTGGCTTTGGACACAGAGAGGCCTAGCACGGATGGATCACCAGAAGGGACAGAAAACACGTGAATGATGAGAATAAGAGGAACCATAAGTCAGGGCCAGGAGCTCTGCCTTTCCTCTTGGGACCCAGGTCACCTCCTGGGTCACCAGGTGACCCAGGAAGTACTTCGGACGAGTCCTCCACCTCCCTGCACCCTGCACCTCGAATCAGTCACCTGACTGAACTGTGTCAGGGTGTCCTCCAATCTGTCTGCTCCTCTCTGGCCCCAGGACTGCAGGGTTTTGGCCCTAACCAAAGTGACAGCTGAGTGGTGGGAACCCCTAATCTCCCCTCATGACACTGTCATCCAGGGGTCTAGAGAGAAAACACACAGGTGACTCTCACCGGGCAGCCTTAGCACAAAGATGTCCCTTTCTACGAGGACACAGAGGCCACAACTGCCCCCATCACATTTGTGTTCAAGGTCTCTTTGGTCGTCTGGGCCTTGCGTGTCCTGAGGGGGAATCGATTCGGGATGGGGACAAGAGGCAGGCTGGCACCTGAAAGCCACCAGCAAAGGATCACTGCTGCAGGAGGGAGGACCCCAGGTGGGAAAGAGCAAACGTTGACACCATCAGACCAGAAGGGAATGGGGCACATCCCAGAGGGAGTTTGCAAGTTTAGAGAGCAGCAAGCCCTGCCCGTCAGCCACCTAAGACAAAAGCCAAAGACTTTTAAGACTCAGGAAGCCAAGGCTGCCCTCAGCATGCGACCTCCCACTTATCCCAGTGGTCCCCCCAGGGACAGCGGGACAACTGAGGGCAGTATGGTAACCCCTGGCTTGAGGGTCTGGAAGATCTGTCCCTGTTCTGAGGTTTTAAGTATCACTGCCACAGACCTGCTCAAGACCCAGAATGCTGTGCAGATGGTGGCAGCCTGATTCAGGGTCGATGAAGGGAAGGTATCTAACACTGGTCGGGTTTAAAGAGGACCTGAAGGTACAGAAAACTCGTGAACTCTGAGAATAAGAGAAATCAAAGGTGACGCCAGGAGACTGGCAAAGCCCTTTCATTAGCTGTGGAAAATTAGGCTAGTGGGAGGTGCAGGACTGGATGGGGTCCAGGAATAAACTTCCAGATACAGCCCAACGCAGTGGCGCATGTGTGTCATCCCAGCAGCTCAGGAGGCTGAGGCAGGAGGATCGCAAGTTGGAGGCCAGCCTCAGCAACTTAGTGAGGCCCTAAGCAACTCAGTGAGACCCTGTCTCTAAATAAAATATAAAAAGGGCTGGGGATGGGGCTCAGTGAGTAAGCACTGACTAAGTAAGTTCAATTCCTAATGGCAAAACCTAAATAAATAAACCCCAGCAGACATGCTAATTACAGATGCCCATTACAGCACCGAAATGGAGCTTCTGAGCAGAAAGGTAGGCAAAAAAAGGTCTAGAACTGAGGAAAGAAATATAGGCTGGAGAAGCAAGTTTGAGTCATGAGGACATAGATGGCATTTAAAGCCAGGACACTAAGCTAGGCCATCAAGAGGGTAATTATAGATATAAAGAGATGGTCCTATGCTGCTCCTTAGAAAATCCCAACTGCAATCAGGCTGGTGGGAACCACGGGCGATCGTCTAGAGGTGAAGGAGCCAAGAAGAAACCAGCACAGGACACTGGGAGAAAACACTGAGAGTGTTTTCCAGAAGGTAGATAGATGGAGTGCAGCCAAGGGGACAGAGCACTGAACCGTGTCAGGGGCCACCCATGGGCTTAGTAGGAGGAGGACTAAGAATAGATCCTTTTAGATGTGACATCATGGAGGTCACTGCTGACTTTGATGACAGTCAGGGACAAAACTTGAATGGTTCAATAGAGAAAGTAACTGGTATGGAAGAGAAAGGAAATAAATGCCCTTGAGTGGATGAGAAGGCTGGTGTCTGATGACTGAACTGGGCGTTGTCAGGAGTAGTGGGCACACATGACAGGCGGGTGGGTAACCTGCAGGGGTCAAAGTTCTCCTCTAGCTACTGTTCTGTATCAGTGTGTCCTCCAATCTGTCTGCTCTTCTTTGGGAAGCACCATGGATATGAAGTGAGGGTGGGGACAAGGTGCCAGCAGCTTAGTGACTGAAAGACGACTAAGAGATTCCAATTTCTCTTCATTGCACAATTGGGAGTCAGACAGCCCCAGGACAAAGCACCCACACACCCAGGTTTTGGGGGAAGATGGTTTCCCTCATTTTAAAGCTGCTCTCTCTGCACTTTCGAGCAGGGCGGGTCACTCCTGGTCCCAGGCCCACCTTCTGCCTCTGTAATGCCATCTACCTAAGGGCTTGTCCTGGCAACCTGGGCAGAACTATCTAGAGGCAGGAAATAACATTTTTGCGTGGCACAGGATCAGATCACATTTTAACTACGCCCAAAGAAGTAGGGGGTGACCCCTGTGGCCATGCCTACTTTGTAAAGCGCCAAGGGACAGAGAAGTGAAGTCATCAGTCCAAGGGAGCAAAAGTAATTCGCCTTGAAGTCACCACTTTTTCTTTTTCTTTTTTTCCCTTTTGGGTCCCGGGGACTGAGCCCAGGGGGCCCTCGACTCCTGAGCCCCCATCCCCAGTCCTTTTTTGAGTATTTTATTTAGTGACAGGGTCTCGCCGAGCTGCTGAGGCTGGCTTGGACCTCGTGATCCTCGTGCTCGCTCACCCTGTGGGATCACAGCCGGGGGCTCAGCCGTGTCCCTTCAGTGTCGCAGGGAGCAGGGGACTCTGCATTTCCCGTCTCACGGGGGCTCATGCACACTGCCCGCTCCAGTTGGGGGGGGTCAAAGGACTTGACTTTAAAGCCGCAGAAAAAGGTGGAAAACAAAAAACCCAGGGCTCTCTGACCCAGCTGTGGCTCTGGGATCTCGGACAGAGACGGCGTGGGACAGGCACCTGATGGGCGTCAAATTCCGGAGGAAGCCCAAGGGCCCGGGGGAGCGCCGGGACTGAGCCGCGGAACGGAGCCCAGGAGCCCAGAGGCGGCTCCGCACAGGCCCCGGCCGAGGATTGGCAAGGCCATGCTCTCCCTGCGCGGTCCCCCTCCCGGGCCTCGGGGACCTGGAGTCTGGGCGCCGTCCCCCCCCCCCCACCGGGGATGCCCGTCGGGCAGGTGCAGGACGCCGCCGGAGCCAGCGGCCGAGCGCGCAGAGGCCGCCCGGGCTCCCTTACCTTCTCGATTTTGCCCAGGAAGAGCTCCTTGGCGAAGGCCCGGCTCGGCGGACTGGTACGCAGCGGGCGCCGGCTCGCGCTGAAGGCCACCAAAGCCCGGCAGGCTCGCGCCGCCGTCGCCGCCCGGCGCAGGAAGAGCGCGCATCCGCTCAGGCCGCCCGCGTCCGCTCCGGGTGTTCTATCAACTCCAGCTCCGCGCCGCCTGATGACGCCACGGGCCCGCGCCGCCTGATGACGCCACGGCCCGCGTTGGCCCGCCTGCGCCCCTGCCCTTGCGTGGCCACGCCTCCCGCAAGAGCCACTGTGCTTGCTGGCCACGCCCTGCGTTGAAAGAGGGGCGGGGCCACACAGGGGCGGGGCGCCAGGAGGTTCCCTTCAGTCAAACGCCGCAGGGCGCGCCCTGGTGGATCCCTGGTTCCTGGGGATGAGAGCAGCAGGCCACCTGCCTCTCACCTGTCACCTCCAGGACCAGGCCTGGGGAAAAGGAAAAAAAGAGCAAGGAAGCAGGGAAAATTAACGGCCTAGCTGGGTCTGGAGGGAGCTCAGCTGTGGAAATGTTGGTTTTGCCTGGAGCTTGCACGTGGGTTCCACGTGTGTGCACTTTTCTGTTTATGGTAGGTGACCAGGTGACAGGCCCAGCGTCCCCACAGCGCCCC